TAAGCCGCTCTGTCTTATTTTGTCGTGATTCACCTGTTGTTAATTCTAATAACCGATATTAATTAAGCGATTAAGACTTTGTTGGTTGTCAACAATAGATAAACGTTTATGCAAAACGTGGAAATTGCCTTCCTATTTTGGCTTTTGACTACATTAGATGGCATTTAGAAAGAATTGTGGTAAGTTAGTGATAATACACTAAAAGTAAACATTCCAAGTTCTGTTGGAAGGAAATTTTCGAGCCACATGAAGCGCGAAAATGAAGAATCTTTTGACCTTGTAGAATTTGTAGCATCAGTGAGCCATGTGGATTTCGTTGCGCGTTTTCCATCAAATCGTCGGTTTTTTCAGGAAATCGTCTCATATATCAAGAATTGTTTTGCGTGGTAACGTTACTAGAGAGTTCGAGCACCACTACGAGGACGACGAAGAAGGAAACGGGACAATATTAAGGTTTATTAAGCAAAGCAAAAACTCTGAACGTGCAGCGCAATTTTTGGCAGATTCTTTCGCCCGCCATCATCGCATGCGTCCCATTTATGGAATTCGGATTGCGAGATCCAGGAAACTTTTGCTTGGAAGCCGAAATCGTGGGCTTTGGAATCCGGAACACAACTTAATGAATCCAGAATGCGGCAAATGATGGGAATCCGGAATCCAAGTTTTAATGACAACAGTCAGGAATCCTGGACCTGGAATTCGGAATCTACGGCGTCGAATCCAGAATCCAAGAGCGAATCGCACAACTGTTGTTGTTAAATTAAAATTGAACGGATGGCGATGCGTTCGTCGCTTTAATATCTTAAGGTCGTCGCTTCATCAAAAGCAATCATTGCAACTTCGATTTCGTCAGAATTGACCATATAGAGAGGCTCATCAATAGCTATGGGACCATCAGAATAGTTTTATATCCTTCCTTGTAATCCTTCTCCGTCACCTTCTAATTGCATTGTAATCTCCATTATGTTCAGCTTTGCATGTCATGCCAATCACAAAAATAGCATGTATCCCAATGGAAAATTACATGCCTTGTAAACAAAACAAGCTCCCTGGGTTCAATGGAAATGCATTCTTACTATGAAGAAGGAACTTGTGCTTGGCCTTTGGTTTTCAAATGTATTTTCAATATGCTTTTTCCTTTGGCATTTAATTTGACAGTACAGATGTAAACTTTAGCTACCTGTGGAATTGTATTCAGTCTCGTTTCTTGCTACTTCTTGACCCCAAATATTGTTCAGGCAATCAAGGTAATAATCTTAAATGACATTTACAATATATTCGCTTTTCATTGCTATTGTCTCGTTGATGGTTGGTTTTAGGCCGGGGGGGGGGGGGGGGGGGGGGGCTACTGCCATATATGGGCTATATGGGTATGTGCCGCTGTAAAGGGTATGGTTTTCAAGCAGTTTACGCTGGGATAGGGCATATAAATCAGAGAGTTTAGGTCTAGAAGAGGGTATCATTTTCCATCTGAAACTAATCAACTGGCTGAAGATTTTAGTCTAGACTGGGGAAACTGGGAATTGCCACTCAAAAAAATCAAATCGGTTTTGTTTTAGCTGGACTGTGCTAGTGACCTTAGTGGTATAGGCTAAGGGTTCCAGGGTCCCCGCGGCACATCCCCACCCCACAAGTCCTAAAGTAGCCCACCCGGGGTTTTAGGGCCCTGGAAGCCTCCAATATGAGTTATTTACAGCCATTTAAGCATAATTTATAATCAGCCAATCAAAAGCACTATCCACTTCTTTGGTGAAGTGGAAGCTAACGCCTTATACTTGAAAAAAAAAAAAATAAATAAATAAAAGACAAAACAAAAAACACTAGAGAAAGGTGAATTATACACTAAGAGGAGTCTTTAAACCTTTATCAACCGGAGACCGAGAAAAAAATGAAGTAATATATAATGACGAAAAGGAATTCATCCCCCGTAATGCCAATATTTTACAATTTCTTTGGTTAGAACTGCACACATCACAACACTTGGAGTGAAAAGTGATACTCCCGCTGACGTCACCTTTTGACATTAATGTGCCAACCAGAAGCTAGCTTGCGTCGCAGACATTCTTAACAGCCTGTATATTATATGAGGGTCCCCAATGGGGTTTTTCAATCCCGTAATCCCGACCCAAAGTTTCGTGCAATCCCGTAATCCCATTTTTATTTTTGGCATCCCACCTTACGGGCATACTTTCAATCCCGAATTCTGCCCCGATTTTGCTTTATAATCCCAAATCCCGAGCGTCAAATAAGTGAAATCCCGAATCCCGAGCAACCTATTGGGGACCCTCTTATATCAATGGTCTAGAAGATACGTGGGCCGGCTGCAACACAGGCTAGGTTAGCATGGTACTTTCAATCCCGAATCTTACTCCGATTTTGCTTTATATTCCCGAATCCCGAGCCTCAAATAAGGGAAATCCCGGATCCCGAGAAACCTATTGAGGACCCTGTTATATCAATGGTCTAGAAGATACGTGGGCGAGCTGCAACGCAGGCTACCAGAAACTCATTGGTTCTTGAAATAAAACATTCATTGTAAATTTGAAGAAAAAGTACAAGTTTCAAGTTCAAGTTTATTAAAAACACTTTGCATACATGCCATGATTAATCCTTGCCCGCAAAGTAGCTTGATATAAACATGAGAGGGGTTGGGAGAATTCTCGACAGTTATGCAAACCCTCGACTTCGTCTCGGGTTGCATAACTGCCGAGAATTCTCCCAACGTCTCGAGTGTTTATATCAGGCTATGCAAACACAGGAAGAAGTTTTCTGTTGCTTTTATAAAATAAATTTCCCTAGAAAAAACGCAAAACTCTTTGTATGGCTCTGATTAAAAGACAAATTCGCACCAGTCGCAAAGTCTTGTCCACGAAGTCTTGCACGCGTAATCAGTTCTTGTTTTGCAAAAAGATGCTCTCTAAAATACGGACTTTTCTCTCTTAAAATGTCAGCTTAAGCGAAAAAAGATTGACACACTTTCATTGTAACGATTTTCCAAGTTTCAGCCAACGAAGGAATGGGTAAATAAAGTAAACTTGTCGAGTTTTGAACTTGAGAACTTTTTTTCAAATTCGTGCTTGCGTGATTAGCGCGCGAAAAGCAAAACATCATGACGCCACAACCATGTTTACAAACTCTCCTGCAACACTCCTCTCAGCGAATCAGAGCGCGCGTACTATCTTAGTTATTTTATAAATTAAATTAACAAGACAGAGAATACATATATTTCAAAATAGGTAAATGAAACAAGGTATGAATGAAATTAAACTGAAAATTTAATATTTACTAAATATGTCAATTAGTACGCACGCCAACGTTTGAGTTGTTAGCTTTTCCAGACATAATTATAAGATAATTTCAACGAAACTCTACTCGCTCAAATCGCACGTCCACTCGCTCAGAGCGCACGTGCAACGAACAATCACACTGTTTGTAAACAGTGATGTCTCCTACACTTTCACCAAGTTTATTTGAAGTATACGTGTTACACGTCAAAATTATATTCAGTTTAAAATCTTTTAACCTACAATAAGGTTGATTGTCAATTTCTTTGTCTCTTAGCCCTAATTATTCATGATTTAGGGCCAGGAGACAAAGGACATCGAGAATCAACCTAGGTTAAAAAAATTTCGCTGTATTCTTGGTTTTTCTCGTTGAATTTACTTGAAAATAGAGTTTAGTTCCCGGAGGAGAGAAATACTTTTATTGTTGACCACCAACATGGCTGCCGTGAAGTCACGTGTAAACTAGCAATACGTTTACATTATTATATAAACACCAATGAAATACTAGGTGAGCTTCGCGCGATGAAAACAGAACAAATTACAAGACAAAGAGGGAAAACCCAAGAAATTAAAGTTAACTGGGTGACACGTCGAGCAGTCATGAAGTTGACGTACTTCAGTGGCTTTACGACAGCCATATACCGATCAAGTACGAGGCTGCACAGGTTCATTATAGAGGCGCATGCAAAGAGCCACACAGAAGAACAGTGAAGGAACAACGAACGCCCCAACACAGAAATCCGCCACCGCAAGTGAAACGATCAGTGCGTTGGTTTTGGTGCGAAGCCGACGCCGACTGCCCACAAGAAGTACGGTGAAACCATTTCCCGCTATCGTCAAAATGGACAGAATCCAACCAAGAATCCAAAACCAAGTTTCCATTTTATATTCGGAACTTTAGCTGTGCGTTCAAGTTTATGTCTTTGAAAGAAACCGGTTTGGTTATTTTATAAGTGAACATCTGCGGGTAACGTTTCCGCATTATATCTGACGAGCATGACTCATGCTCGGACATATCACATGTCAATTTTTGATTACTAAATTGACTTTAGGACAGAAAAAGCATTTAGACCGATTACAAAGGTCGTTTTTGGAATAAGTTCTTCTTCCCTTTTGAATGAAACTCACTTTTAACTCAACTTAAGACCATTTTCTGGACACCTTAGCCTCCTGTTATTAAATGCAGTAAGCCGCTCTGTCTTATATATTTCGTCTTTATTATATGGCTGAGTCTGTTTTCGCCATGCGATTGGTCAATTTGCGGTCCGTAACTTGCTATACGGACCAAAATTTCTAAGAAAATGCTCATTTTGGAGCTCTAAATCTCTTTACCTCGGAAAAAAGGTTGAAATTAAGTTACAAGACGTCTATCAACCTTGAGGACTTAGATTCTGACTTTGTCCTTCAACATTTTAAACTGTGTTTGTTTGTGAACGAAGGCAATGAAGAAACTAACTCGTAATCTTATCGAAGAGGATTCTTAAGTCAGTGTTTGAACATTTTATCGTAACGGTATTACACAGTTAAGAAGGCGAAAATCGACTGGTAGAGATTCGAGATGATATGTTTTGCCTAAGAGAAAATGAGTAATTCCTTCGACAAATATGATAACAACATGCCTGCACCAAATCATCTTGACGAGCTTCTTTGTCATTTGCAGTGTTTTTCCAAAGACCAACGAAAGAAAGATAGAAGCGACTTCGAGCTAGGCACAATGCCCAGTTTTCAAAAGATTCCAGCGTCACATTGGCAAGTGAATACTTACAGTACTCTTAGATTTAAACGAATATACTTAAAAGTATGTCTGTAAACTCTAAGGACTGGGATGTTGACTTTGCCTTTCCAGATTTTAACCTAGCTTTGTTTGAATGAGAACGAAGCTGATGTAGAAACTGAATCGTAACCTTTACGTGGAAGAATATATGGTCCGTGTTTGAAAATTTTAACGCAGATTACGCTTGAAGACGAAAATGAACTGGCAGAAATTCGAGAGGTTTTCCCCCCAAAATTAAGGAGCGAATCCTTCGACAATGACAACCAACTTACCTTGAAAAGTTTCTTGCCTTGTGCAGTGTGTGTGTGTGTTTTTTTTTACAAGGACCAACGGAGGAAAGATGGAAACGACTTCGAGAAAGACGCAGTGCCCGGTTTTCAAAGTACTCCAGCCTTACATTAAAGAGCTAAAACTTACAGCGGTCTTAGTTTGGACCAAATAAACTTTTTCAACATGGCCAATTTGTTTTCACTTTCTCGTGAGCCAATAAAAATTTTCTTTCTTGACGCCTGTCAAATGATTAATTGTCAAATCGCGCGTCCTGCACTTGTTTCCGGTCCCCCAAACTGGAAGAAGCCATATAACAAACATCTTATTAGCCTCGCTTTTTCGTTCCGTACTGTAAATTACGGATCCTCGTTTTTTCCATCGATTTATGGCCCGCGCGCTTCGCGCTTGGGCCTTAAATCGATGGAAAAAAGCTCGGTCCGTGATTTACAGAACGGACCGAAAACTCGTCTAATAAGAGGTATTTATTCACTTAGCTGTTGTTAATTGTAACAACAGATAGTTCATTGAAGTGATAAAAAAAAAACAATATAAAGAGAGAATTCAACTTTGTTGAATGTCAAGAAATAAATGAACGTTAAATATACAAAGCGTGGAAATTCCCTTCCGTTTTGGGCTTGTGACGTCATTAGATGGCATTAGTGATAATGCACAAATAGCAATTATTATTCATTCAAAATATTCCCCCGATTCTAATTACCTAAAAGCACACGCATAATTCGCCATAACCAGCTACCGATGACCAAATGTGGAAGAAAGTTTGCGTTTAATGAACCGATGACGTCGAAAGTGCAGCTTTTTTGCGGGTTAATGCACCGCTAACCGAGAAGACCTGGGGACGAGGTTGAGTTGTTTTGGTTGTGAGAACAAAAATGACGGACATTTCACTCGTTTCAAGAGTAAGAACTAGGCGAAATAATAGCTAACAACATGGCAAGAACAGCTAGAAGACGACTTGAACAGCGACATCTGCTGCTTGGAGAATATTTGGGGAGCTGAATAAAACCTAAACGTGAACTATCGAAGATGAACTTAGCATCGATGGATCGATGGAGGTAAGCACGTTTTAGCTATGGTTTTAAGCTAGGAATTATTTCAAATGAATAATCTTCGTCAAACGTTTATAAATCCGAGATCAAGAAAAACACAGTAAAAATAACAAGCAGGGGTTTTTGACAAAAATATCTTTATTCTGTCCATGGTAAGAGATTCACATCTTATCACAATTTTTTGAGAGAATATGTGCACCAAGTTTCCTTGAAGTACTTAAGTGCAATCTAAAATGAAATGTTTACTCCATTTAACGCCGCAGATAGAGGTAAAACTATCAAATGTCGCCTTTTAATAAGCGCCCCACCAAAACAGAATAATGCAGCGTTTATTCGAGGATAATAGGGAATACCTCGGCACAAATTAGTATCAACACCTTCCAAACAATTAACGATTCCATCTCTCAACAACAAAAAAAAAATGAAAGAGCGAGACTTTTGAATCTTAAACTGAAAACATCCCTCTGGTTTACATTTTATTTAGAATTGATTTATGGTAATTTTTGTCATTTTTAAGTGAACACCGCCATCAATGAATGCCGCCCTTGAATGATCGCCGTATCGGAAACGCCGCGGTGTTTCATTGAATATATTATCGAGCAACCTCAGAGGTAAGCTTGTGTCCTTTTAATGCCCTTTTAATGTCACGCTTGAATAAAGCGTAAGCCAGAGGATTTATGGCCGAGTTCAGAACAAACATTGGTATTTTATATTTGAAGTCATTTTTACACGAAAGGTGAGTTGTTTGGTTTCCCCAAATCTGATCAAACGCACATCGCATGTAAATCGCGCAACAAGCGAGAGCAAAGCCAACCACGACTGCCAACATAACAACTGCTGATTTGTCATATGCGTTGAATTTGAAACCTCCATGGTTGAACCGTAACTGTTTTGCCAAGATGGCTGATGATCGAGTTTGCTTGCATACAACTGTCACCATGGAAATAAAACAGAAAATTAACATGCAGCTGAAGAAAATCTCGAGGAGGGCAGAACATACGCTTAAGACTATCATACATGAAGAAAATGTTAAATACAAAACCATGAAAAAGGCAAAAATTACAAGACAAAGAGGGATAACCCAAGAAATTAGCGTAAGTTGAATGACACGTCGCGCAGTAATGAAGTTGACGTATTTCATTGGCTTTACAACGGCCATATACCGATCCAGTGCTAAGCTGCACAGGTTCATTATAGAGGCGTACGCAAAGAGCCACCTTATAAAATCCACCCAGGACGCATAGGGTCGAGGCCAATTGCAGCCATCTCTAATTTCACAGAAGAACAGTGAAGGAAAAGCGAAGGCCCCAACACAGAAATCCGCCACTGCAAGTGAAACGATGAGCGTGTTAGTTTTGGTGCGAAGCTTTCGTTGACTAATCACGAGAAGCACAATGAATCCATTTCCAGTTATCGTCAGAATGGACAGAATCCAGCCAAGAATCCAAAACCATGATTCCATGTTATTATCGGTACAGATCTTTAGCTGAAAGTAGTACGTTATTTTTTGAGTTCCTTGAAAAAGAAAAGTAATGACAATTTTAACTTATACACATCTGGTAACACTTGCAGCGTCGTGAGCTTCTTAACTTACGAGCCGATGATAATAAGCGTATACGTCAATTTATGATTGCTAAGTTGAGACCAATTAGGAGGTTGGTTTCAAATATATGTTGCTCTTGAAATGTAAATGAAGCTCTTAACTCAACGAAAGAACATTTTTTGGAGACTCAGTGTCGCTGCCCTTGGTAATCAACGCTCCGGTATCCGCATCCTTTTTATTTAGTCATGGACCATTCGTTGATAATTTTTATATCCGATACTAATTGAAGGAAAACGAACAAAATGAGAGATTAAATTTTTGCGGCTGACAAAAATTCAATCAACCTTTAGGCAAAGGATAGAATTTCGAATCTCCTTGCTATTCTGGTTGGAGACATAATTACATGATATCAATGGAAACTATCTTCTTTTTATTTTTGATAATGCACACTGAGACTAAACATTCTGAATTATGTATTATATTAATTATGTATTATATTAATATCATGTTGTTGTTGTTGTTTCATCTTCAATATACTGAATTATGTATTGAGAGAAAAAATAGAGAAAGCTGGCTTATCTTTTCTCGGAGGAGAAAATTCACTAGCGAAATGAGCGAATAACTTTTGTTGATACTGGCAACAATTCACTCAACGTTTACGCGAAGCATCGAATTCGAAATCCTCTTCCCCTTTCGGCTGGTAACGTCATAACATGATATTTAGTAGGAGCTATGTTTAGACTAGTGATAATAGTACACAGAAAGAGAATATACCGAATTCTATATTTGAAGAAAGAACTAAACTAGATAAAGCTGGCTTATCTTATATCTTGTTGTTTGTTCTTAACTTACTGTTAGGCGATTGGAAAGGGATCAAGGCATCTTAAACTGAAAAACTAATTCCTAACACCTGGCTACCGATCTGAATATGATTTTGGGTGATTCGTCCATGTCACAATGCATAACTCGAAAAAACTTAGTCTCATGTTGTTTGAGTTCCATTGGTTTTTTTGGTCTTTATTTGACCCCCAAAAAAGTGGCGACAACTTCCCTGCATGAACAGAGTATATACTTCTTAATATATGAACCGACAGATGATTTTAATGATTTTGTTGCTGGAAATACACTCATTTTTCTTAACTTCGTGATATCTTTATATGAATGACAGCGACGAATCGTAGAAAAAAAAAGCTATTTTTTAACAGTTAATAAAAATGGTCTAAAATGGAACAGTGGCATAGGTTGGTTGGTTGGAGGCTCCTTCATGAGTGAGGCATTTCTTGCTATTAATGTGACTGTGTGATACAGTTAAGCCTTAATGTGTTGCCCATCTGGGCTCAGATTTTTTCTGTGTCCTCTTATGGTTGATTCTTTACATCTCCCTTTATTTTCCTTTATAATATTAATATCAGTGGCATAGGTTAAAATGGAACATGTACTGTATTTACACGTGCAATTTCTTTTCAGTTTCCGATTCATATCAGCACCACATCAGTCTGTTTTCCTATCTCTGTCAGTGGTAATATAATTGTTCTCCCAGAGAGGCTCTTCTCTGCAAACAATACTAGCTTGCACATTAGTCTTTTTTATCTTTGTTTATGTTCCTTTTGTAAAAGGCACAAGCCGCCGGGTTAATGACAGTGTTTAAATTAAATCAATATCGGTATAGGTCAGGAGTCGTCTCTGCATTGATTTTATATCGAAAAGATTAACTATACTATATCGAAAATATATTCCATGGCAAATTAGAAACAATTCGGCGACAATTCCCATCTTTGCGAATGCCGATTTGTTGTGCTATTAACTGTCAATCCTCAGTGGCTGAATCTTCACTGTTTTGCCACCTTTCCTACTGTACTGATCGGTCTTGTTCGTGTAGAACAACAATTTCCATTGAGGAAAAGAAGAATATTAGCATACAACATGACAAAATCTCAAATAGGAGCGGTTAATTGGCTTACTACTAATTTGAACGTATGGCGTGAATGTGAATGCAAACGAACGATCGTGACAACGCCAAAAGAGATTGCCCATAAGAAAAAAATATCATTTGAAAAACCCGACGACCTGCAGCCATGCAAGTTAAATATTTCAAAGGCTTCGCAAAGGCAATGTACCTATCTAATACCAAACTACATAAGTTTTTCAGAGAGGCGCAGCATAACAGCAGTCTTTATTTATTTTTTTATAGAAAATTGCCACATATCCTTACTGGAATCTAATGTACTATCGTAAGTGGACATGATGGGAATAACTCCCGCTCCAGCCGAGAGATCTGCTACTGCAAGTGGATTATAATTCAGTTCGTTTTGGTGCGGAGCGTTCGTCTGGTGGAGATAAGGAAGATGCATGGCGAATCCATTACAGGCGATCGTAAGGATGGACAAAAACCAGCCAAGAATCAAAACAACGTGTCCATTTGATAAAGATTTTAAAACTACTTCATTCGACTAGGTTGATCGGGTAAAATACAGAAAGAAAAAATTTAAGGCAAGTTTGTAAACACCAGCTGGTCGCTTTCGACTATACTGTACCATCCTTTTCGTAATTAACTGAAAGTTGACTACATGCCCAGCGTAAGTAAATTTTGATAAAATGTGCCATACCTGTCATGAAACTCAACTTAACCCTCTCTGTTGAATATTTTTTGTTATCCACCGGTGTTTCAATGAAAAGTCGAGGCAATTGCTGTGCTTGACAACATTAATTTAGAGAACTCTTCTGCAAAAGAATAGAACGTTAACGTTCTTTAACAGTCATTTTGGCTGGTGACGTCACAAGATCGTATTTCGTGGGAATTATGTTTGAAATAATAACTGAGTGGGGTGTTTGATCTAAGAATTGAACGTTCTAAATGATGCAGTTCGATTGTAGATCGTAAAGAAGCTTGGTTATGGCGTTTAATGTTTGTTTGGTTAGTGAGGAACATTTGTATGTAGGGTCCAGTGGTGTGAAGATTGGATGAAGGAAAATATTGAACTCAGAACGCCCTTTCTATTCTAGCTCTAGAAACTCTGACCAGAAAAACGAATATAACACTAAAACAGAAAAAAATTCTTAATACCTGAAATGTTCTTTGAGGGCATGCGGCTTTCGCTGAAATCAGTTTCATTAATTTGTACTTGAATAATGTAAATTCACACAACAGCAAATTCAGTTTCACATTTAGACTGGCATATGAGCTGGAATATTTTATCCATAGCATTTAAATCGACCAATCAGGAAAACTTCCTGTGTTTCAGGACGTTTTTATTGACGCTTAAAATTTACTGACGGATATTAAACACAGCTGAAATGAGCCAATACTGATACCATACTGCTCACCAACTAATATTTGAATGGTTTAGTAAATTTGCAGTATGATATCAAGCTAAAGTTTATTCGAGAGCAAACAAAGAAATCTCAGTATGGTTAAAAAAAGAAATCGACTCGCAGGTGTGCGGTAATTCATCCCTATGTTTTTTTTGCATGGTCTTTCATGCTTGTGCCGACTTCAAAACAACAACTCTGGCTCATTGTAGGCTTTCACTGTTTAATTATTAAACAATAACAACATGGCTTGAAGCTTTGTTGGTAAATATGAGCAAGTTAGTACTTATTTTTCATGGAAAATTCAATTGTATCAAAACTATAAGCGTTAAAAAGAAAAAGATAGTTCAAATGAGGCCTTTGACTGCTGAAATTATAAACAATAATTAAATTCTGAGCAATAGCGTCATTAGGGATAAGAAAAATGTTTCGTGTGGTAATATACGTAAGAAATAATTTGTGTAAAGTAAAATGTGTGAAAAGGGCAAGAATGGGGCGGAATTTATACGTATCAGAGGTATAAAAATATAAACTTGAATAAAATACAAAGATCTAATGTGCGAGTGTCACAGGACAAAGACGTAATGATAGTCTTCAAAACGAAAGGTCCGCAAATTCGTTGCATTCCTCACGGGAGTTTTGGGTTGTCTCAATGTAAATCGAGCAGCAAAAAAACATGCTGGTTGACAAAATCTCTCGAATAAATAAGAAAAAAAAAAAGGTCAGCAAATACGTTGCATTCCTCACGGGAGGTGAGGACTGGCTCAATGTAAATCGACCTGCGAAGAACACGCTGGTTCTGATAAACGTTTTGAGAATATAAGCCTATGCCTTGATCAACTACCGCTTAAAATTCAACTCACAAAGGAAAAGAGAACACTGAAAACCTTGGTTCTGAGTCGGGAAGCGAACACGCTACCTCAATGTAGAACAAGCTGGTTCTGAGAAAAATTTGAGCGCAAAACCCTATTTTTTAAAGCTGCTGCTTTAAACGCAATTTATGAAGCAAACCAGAGCACTATTTGCTCTTTCAAACTAGAAATTATATTAAAGCTTGCTCACCTGTTAGGTCCTCTTGAGCAGACAACGAACAGCACACAGTGAATCACCCAATTGAACACTCCAGAAAATACCATAACATACCATAATGCTCTTTGTTTTTCACCCCAAAATTTTGCATAAGCATTGTTTTCAGTTTCTCTTGGGGTCATTTTAACTCCCAAGAGAAACTAAAAACATTTAATGCTTATGCAAAATATTGGGGTGTCAAACAAAGAGCATTATGGTGTTTTATTGTATTTTCTGGAGTGGTCAATTTCGGACCGTGAGTTGTGAATACAAGACTATGACGTCACTACCCAAATATGGGGTCTTACTCACACCCAAATGTGGCCCAAAATGCAAATTTTAGAGGGTTACGCCGGTACATTGCGCGGCGTTATAATTCTGCCGCCCAGTCAACGTCGCTTCTTAGCTTGGTTGCCTCGTTGGCAATTACAACCTTACGGCAAATTGAGCACTCGTCAATGTAGAAAAGCTGCTCAACGTTTTAAATAGAATTGGTACAGCTGAAACCCTTGCATGCTTAACCGGCAACCGGTAATGTTTACTCTGCTTAGTAGGCTTTTACCTAGAGAAATGTAGTTTTCATTAAGAAAAACGCTAATGCCTTTTAATCCTAAAACTCTGCCAAGAGCTTAAAGTGGACGGACATTCTCCCATTTTATATCATTAAAAGATGAACAATATTGAAAATTAGTTTTGCCCTTAGGATTTAAATTTTTCCTCTTTTTTAAGGTAGAATTGATAAATAGTAAAAGACACTGGGCGCGATCCATTCAACAAAAAATTCCAACCGGTCCGACCGGGAAAAGTGGTCCACCTCAAAAGGTGGACCCGTTTTTTCGAAACTTTTCCGGTTGGACCGAACCGATCCATTGAGTTTTGGACCGAAACTTCCGGAAATTTTGGTTGAATGGATCGCGCCATGCACTAGTATCCTCAATTAACATTTTCTTCTTATTAATAATGGACTGTTTACAAAGTGGAGCTACATGTACCCACTGTAACGTGATTTGCTTTACTGATAGGATCTACTTTGTTATCATTTTTTGAAGCCGCTCTGCAGATCAGCTTTCTTGTCTCCTTATTTATGTCTCTCTTGAAGAAAGCGTACGCCCAAGGGTTTATGGCGGAGTTTAAGATCAATGTAGGTAATTTATATTCAAAGTCATTACATGGAAGGTTAAGAAAGAGTGATACAAAGCCACAGCGACAGTGAATTCCGTAGCAAATAAGAAACAAAACCACAACAATTGTCGTCATTGTAAATGCGGATTTGTCGTGCTTATTGAATGTCAGTCCTTTGTGATTGAAACGTAACTGTTTCGCTAAAGCAGCTGCTGATCGATCGTGTTTATATACAGCAAGTACCATTGAGCAGTAGCAGAAAACAACGATACAACATGACGCGACCTCAAAGAACATCGTTGAAGCATTTATAAAATCCGCGTATTCAACCCTAAACAAAACAAGGAAAAATGTAGTTGTCACAAATCCAAAGGGGATCGCCCAAGAAAGGAATATCATTTGAATCACTCGACGTGGAGTTACGCACGTTACGTATTTTAAAGGCTTTACAATAGCTATATAGCGATCTGTCACCAAGCTGCACAAATTGAATACCGACGCGTATCCAAAAAGCCATCGTATCAAATCAGGAAGCCAGGACGACCAGGCTCGAGACCATTTACACCCGCCTCCTGAGATCTCGCAGAAGAAGAGAGAAGGAACGACGCCCACACCAACAAGAAAGTCTGCCACAGCAAGCGAAGCTATGAACGCGTTGGTTTTGGTGCGGAGGGGTCGATTGCGGCCAACAAGGGAAATAATGAAGCCATTTCCAGTTATCGTTAGAACGGAAAGAACCCAGCCAAGAACCCAAAACCAGGTTTCCATACTATGATTACTCTTTATCTTCTGTTGGCTACGATCAATACCCTTCCTCAATGAAAGCACCTGCTCTGATTTTACTTAGTGGTGTACTGACTTATGCATATATATTAATATATCACTCAATAATTACACTTTCACAACAAGTGAGTCAGCAATTTCTCTATACTGACCATTTCTTCACTATCTATTTCAAAGATATTCTTCTTTTAAAAGGAAGACATATAAGCCTGGATATAAGGAGGAATGATTTTATTGGAAATGTTATGTAAGACGATTTAATTTATTCTCTCTGCAAGTTTTTCCCGAGTATATTTTAACATTAATGAAGTAGGAAAGCTTTAGTTGAACGGGGCAAAATATGTTAATGTTTTTCGTTTCTTGACGAGCTCAGTTACGATCTATTTTCAACACACAGTACGGGGAGGTTTTGAGTTTAGATTTCATGGACCTGAGGACCGGCTTTGCTTCGTAGTTAGTTAATTATACGTATCATCCGTTAAAAAAATGTCTGTCGAATAATTATCAAATGATTTATTAATCATGTTTTGAAAACAAAACAAAAAAAAGATCTAAGGGCTCGTGGATTTCTTTTCAATAATTTCTCAAAATATACGTAAGTCCGAGGCTTGAGATTCGTGTTGTAAGACAACTAGTTGCAACCTATTATTTGAAGCCAACAATGAAGCATTATGAACTATTTTTCACATGACTGTCAGTTTGTAAAGAGTTAGATCACTGCCAGAATTGAACGTATTTGGTAAGAGTGAAGTTAGATAATTAATTTGCAACACGCAAAGGGAAATCAGAAAACATTGATTACAAAAACACGAGAGGCCGGCCGAGGTGTAGGAGAAAAAATAAATGACTCAACACTATACATGCAGTGTGGACAATTGGTAATTACAATTCAGTAAATAGTTTAAAAGCTTCACCGCAAGCGATCTCGGCAATGTCAAACAAAAATCCATCCGGTCGGACCGTAACCAAACAGCCTCCTCAGCGAAACTTGTTTTGAGGCCGCTTTCATGCATTGGTTGTTTTACAAGAATTTTGGAATGCACTTGTAACGGACACTGGCGTGTGACGTCTGAAGAACGGCTGCAGAAATTCCATACTGATGACTTGTCACTACCCAGATACGCGTAGTGCTTCTGATTAGTCGTGTCGCGAGGGAAATTTTGCTTCAACCAATCAGGAGCACTATCCAGATGTGGTTTGTGACGCGTCATCAGCATGGAATTTCTACGCTCGTCCCTCAGACCTTATTTCGCGTGGCCTGCGTAGCAGGCGCTTGGAAGTAGTGGGCGCAACGGTTGTGTCTCCCTCTCGAGCGCCCGTTCTTTCTTACGACCACTTCTTCCAAGCGCCTGCTACGCAGGCTATATATTCGCGTAACCTGTACACAGACGTTGTTTTATTTTTCTTTTCGTTGTCTTCGAAAACATCGGTGAGCGCGGAGAGCGAGAAAGAAAAATGAAGAACGTCTGTAGACATCTTTGGGAAAAAAGAGGTTTATTTTAAAGTTCCTCCCCCACGTCAACGCCTCATCATCATCACCTACGCGTGCGCAGTACCAATTAAATTGAACCAATGATATTGGAGATCTAAATTGCTAAGTATTTTAGAACATTTTAAAAATGACACCCGGGGCGCTTTCCATTTAGTCAAAATTTCCGGAATTTCTGGTTCGGCGGTAAATGGAACACGTTTCGTCGGTTCGTCCCACTGGAAAATTCCCAGAAAAAGTGGAAAATCTAAAAAGGTGGTCCCGTTTTCCCGGTTGGAATTTCCGAACGGAATGTCGTGTTCCATTGACGTTTCTTGTAGTTTGTACCAGTTCGAGGTCCACGGTCGGGCACCCGGCCACGTACCGGGGTTTACGACCAAATGGAACAACTTTTTACCAATCGGAAATTCCACTTTTGCTACCACCGAAATTTCCGGGTTTTTTTCGTAAATGGAAAGCGCCCCCGGACTCGCGTGTTTGTTTAAGCATGTCTTGTCTCACTGACTTCAACGCCGAAAAAGCCGGCTAAAAGGGTCCGAAGCCGAAACAAATCGAACCATCGGATTATTGTGGGATATTAACGCGTTCCCGTAAAGCTACGGGAATCTGTTTAATGAGAGTGTTCGTCAAGGTGTTATTAACAAAACGAAAAATGGCGGACGATTAAAGAGATCTTGGTTTTACCGTTTCGCAAACAGAAGATAAGTCAAGTAGGGTTTGTTTGCCTTGCAGTAATAAGGTTAGAAGCACCTGGGCTCGATTTTCTTTTATTAAAACCATTGCTTCAACTTGATCATTGATAATATCCGCAATGGCGATGCAACTAATACTACGTTCTTTTCTCTTTGTTTGAGTTTCACTGCCGCGAACTACTGTTAGATTAAAATTTTCCCAAAACCTGTGGTAAAAACGGCCACAAGATCCTCTTGCCCCAGTAAACCCAAAACAGCCTGGCACCGCTCTTTTTTGAGTACGTATTTGCTTGAAATCTGTGCCAAACAGTCGTCAAGCACGCTTTCCATAGTCTATACTCTGATACAAAAGATATGGTCAGCATGGTCAACACAAGATCAGTATGACTGCATCCGGCGGCGCTTTCAACTGATGTTTTTGTTTTATGCAAATTACAATAGTAAGTTAGCGCCTCCAGGCAATGACAAACGTTTCTACTTGCATGACGTGAGCGTAATGAGTCGTTGACATGATGATGACAGGATAATCGCCGTTCAGCCAATGGTAATGTGCTTTTACTAGGAAAATCAAGTTTCAGTTGCTCCAAAAGATGTCTACAGACCGTCCATTTTCTACTTCCCCCACCCCTACTCCCTTGCGCTGGCGGTCAATAATTCCCCCGCGGTTTTTTGTCGCGCACGCTCGACGGACTTTGAAGAGAAAATAGAGGGTCTGTGAACAGGGGTAACCAGTGATGGCATCGCTAATGCCTGTTTTCTTAGGGCTAATTATCAGTTGTCGCAAACGTTTATTGCGGTGAGCTTTTAATTTATAGAGCAAACAAAGGTTTCTTGAGTTTGTGCTTAACTTGAAGTCAAGACCTTAGATATCTTTCTCTATATCTCTAAAACATTTGTCCTTGTGATTTAGTTTTCAAAGTCGGCTTAATAATTATTACAGAAAATGTTTATTGTTCGATTGACAATTTATCTGTGCCTAAAACACTGTCTGAGTTGCCTGGCAGTATGAGATCAAACTCATTAAATCACGATTAGGGAAGGTATCTATTAAATGAATGGTAACAATAGAACGAATTTTCAAGTCATTGAATCTACTATTGGCTGAGAGGCATTAACTTTAGAGTCCATCTTCTCCTTTACCCGCATTTGATCATATACCATAATATGAAAATTTGCGCGTTATTATTATTGCGCGTTGGAAAAAACCTGTCGAAACTGTGCCTACGGGCTTATGAGGATTTAACACTTTTTGATTTCTAAACTTAAAAAACTGCGATCGCAAATCTTGCATTTTTAATGGTTATTGATTTTGCAGTTTCTCCTTGGTTTTTCGGCAAATCAATTTCTTAATCATCTCCTTCTTTATGTCCCTCTTGAAGAACGCATAGACCCAAGGGTTGATGGCAGAATTCAGGACTAACATAGGTATTTTATAGACTATATCATTACAACGGAGATTATGAAAAAGTGCTACTAAACTGCAGCGCAAATATATTCCATAGCAGACGAGAAACACGACTATTACAATCGCCATCATTGTTACTGCTGATCTGTCCTGACTTCTGACTGTTAGATCTCTGTGGTTGAACCGTAGCTGTTTTGCTAAGGTGGCTGACGATCTATCATGTTTATATACAACAAGTACCATAGAGGAAAAGCAGAATATTAGAAAGCAGCATGAAAAAATCTCCCAAAACATGGCAAATATGTTAACAAAATTCCGCTTAACGGGAGCAGGTAAGAAAAATGAAGTTATGACAAATCCCACAGGGATTGCCCAGGAAACAAAAATCATTTGGATAACACGACCTCGGCTCATAAAATTTAGATACTTTAAAGGCTTAACAATCGCCACGTAACGATCCAGAACTAAACAACACAAGCTTGTCACAGATGCGTAGCCGACCAGCCATCGTATTCTATTGATATTACATCTTAAAGACGATCGCGAATCGTCGCTAGTTTTGACGATTTCGTAGAAAACCTCTGAAGGGAAAACGCTAGCCCCTACACCGAGATCCGCTACCGCAAGAGAAATGATAAAAGCGTTGGTCTTAGTGAGGAGCCGTCGTTTGCTGCAAACAAGAAAAATAATGGAGCCATTTCCAGCCGCCGCCACAATGGATAGTGTCCAACCAAGAATCGTAAACCAAGTTTCCATTCACATCTTCAGCTTGGAGCTGTCGAATACTGAAGAGATAGTTTTTGTTTCTAAACCAAGGTATCTGACACTGAATTTTTATCAGCACCTCAACTGGAAATTTGAAAACAGTTTCTGCTATTTCTGGTTACAGTAAAGAGGTGCGACTAAAATTAAATGCGATCAAAGAGTCTGTTCACGGCGATTCTTCATCCAAACTGAATCCATATCCAAGTTAAAATGTCATGATCGTCAAACATGAACTCTAGCTGAAAGCTTTAAGTTCGCGTTGATTGAGGTCCTCGATCGGAAGGAAAGGTAAGGATATCTTATGAACATCTGGTAACCTTTGCGCCTTATCTTAAGAACATAATTTACCATATATGTGTCAATGTATGACCTGACAATCATTGCTTAGATGGCTGTAGGACAGCAAATTGCATTAAGACCAATTAGAAGGGTCAGTTTAAAAGAAGCTCGCGTTTAACTTAACGAAAAACAATTTTCGGGAGACTTCAGGATCCTGTTATTAAATGCAAATAAGCCGCTCTATATTTTTTTCTTGATTCACTTGCTGTGAAATCTGATAACCGATATTAATTGAGCGATTAAAACTTTGTTCAATGTCTACAATAAACAAACGTTTATGCAAAGCTTGGAAATTCCCGCCTCTTTTTGGCTTGTGTCGTCATTAAATGTAATTTAGGGGCAATTTTACGGTGATCAGTTCAGGCGCAGATCCACACCGATTTCCACTGTTTTACTAAAATCGGTCAGATTTTTCATAATAAATATATTTTTAATAATAAAAAACTCTCCAAGTTGCAATCTTACTCCATATCCAACATACAACATGGAAGTTTACCTTGATGAAATAATCCGCCGATTTGCAAAGATCACCCGAGGGGAATGGAACTGACAAATATCCTGTCTGAATGACTTAGAAACCCAGCAAAGGGGACTTTTGAGAATTAAAATCCGAAAAATTTCACGATACCTGACTCATAGCCCGGAGCCCCCTCCCTCCCCCCTCCGAAGCTTGCACCTTCGGTTCTAGTTTAGAAAATCGGTCAGTATTTATCCGAGATCCGCGCCTGCAGTTAGTGACAAAACACAAAAAAAAAAATTAGAAAAATTAGAGGGCTAGCTACCTTCTACTTTACTTGTAACTGAAAGTCTTAATTCAACGAATGGCAAATTCGTGGAGACTTGAACCCCTTGTGTTATCAGACGCAACAAGCCTCTCTGCAGTTATTTTGTCATGGTTCAACTAAAATGAAGAAATGATAAAGAAGCCTGAAAAAAAAAAAAAAATTCAGGACTCAACTATTGTTGATTCTGATGACTAATGCCGGGAGACTTAAAGATCGAAACAAACAAACAAAAAGACAAATAACCAAAACTCGTCCTTTGGACTTCGTAATCATGGGATATGAAATTCTTGCTCCTGCTAAACATGCCCTGGTCGTTCAAAAGATGGATCGCGCTATCCACCACATAAATCACTATCCAGTGGATAAGTATTAGGAAAACCAATTGCGCTATATATCAAGTGAACACAGAAAGTCGAACATCAGCACCGGACGTTCACAGCTGTTCGTTTTTATACTTTAGCATATTAAAAATTACAACCTTACGGCAAATTGAGCACACGTCATTGTACTGAAAAGCTGCTCAATGGTTTATTAAATAAAACTGGTACAGCTGAAACCAATACTTAACCGGCAATGCAACCGGTAATGTTTACTCTTACTATTTATTAATAGGTTTACCCAAAGAAATATAGTTTTCATTAAAACGCTAATGCGCCTCTTCGAAGAATCCTGAAACTCTGCCAAGAGCTTAAAGTGGACATTCTCCAATTTTCTATTGTTAAAAGATGAACAATATTGAAAATTTTTTCCTTAGCATCTAAATTTTGCTTCTTTTTTCTGTTTTTTTTTTAGGTATGACATACTTGGGCGACCCCTTTTGGATTTGTGACAACTACATTTTTAATTTTTCCTTGTTTTGTTTAGGATTGAATACGCGCGTTTTGTCAGTGCTTTGACGATGTGACATAAATAGTAAGAGACACTAGTATATATCCTCAATTGCTTGACATTTTGTTCTTAATGGACTGTTAACAAAGTCGAGCTACATTTACCCACCGTAAAATGATAGGCTTCCCTGATAGGACCTACTTTGTTATCGATCCTTTTTTGAAGCCGCTTTGCAGATCAACTTTCTTGTCTCCTTTTTATGTCTCTCTTGAAAAAAGCGTGCGCCCAAGGGTTTATGGCGGAGTTTGAGACCAATATAGGTAATTTATATTCAAAGTCATTACATGGAAGGCTAAGAAAGAGTGATACAAAGCCACAGCGACAGTGAATTCCGTAGCAAATAAGAAACAACACTACAACAATTGTCGTCATTGTAAAAGCAGATTTGTCGTGCTTATTGAATGTCAGTCCTTTGTGATTGAAACGTAACTGTTTCGCTCAAGCAGCTGCTGATCGATCGTGTTTATATACAGCAAGTACCATTGAGCAGTAGTAGAAAATAACGATACAACATGACGCGACCTCAAAGAACATCGTTGAAGCATTTATAAAACCCGCGTATTCAATCCTAAACAAAACAAGGAAAAATGTAGTCGTCACAAATCCAAAGGGGATCGCCCAAGAAAGGAATATCATTTGAATCACTCGACGTGGAGTTACGCACGTTACGTATTTTAAAGGCTTTACAATAGCTATATAGCGATCTGTCACCAAGCTGCACAAATTGAATGCCGACGCGTATCCAAATAGCCATCGTATTAAACTAGGGAGCCAGGTCGGCCAGGCTCGAGACCATTTACACCCGCCTCCTGAGATCTCGCAGAAGAAGAGAGAAGGAACGACGCCCACACCAACAAGAAAATCTGCTACAGCAAGCGAAGCTATGAACGCGTTGGTTTTGGTGCGGAGAGGTCGATTGCGGCCAACAAGGAAGATAATGAAGCCATTTCCAGTTATCGTCAGAACAGAAAAGGCCCAGCCAAGAACCCAAAACCAGGTTTCCATACTATGATTACTGCATGATTACTCTTTATCTTGGCTACGATCAATACCCTTCCTCAATGAAAGCACCTGCTCTGATTTTACTTAGTGGTGTACTGACTTATGCATATATATTAATATATCACTCAATAATTACACTTTCACAACAAGAGAGTCAGCAATTTCTCTTGACTGACCATTTCTTCACTATCTATTTCAAAGATATTCTTCTTTTAAAAGGAAGACATATAAGCCTGGATATAAGGAGGAATGATTTTATTGGAAATTTTATGTAAGACGATTTAATTTATTTCTCTGTGCAAGTTTTTTCCGAGTATATTTTGACATTAATGAAGTAGGAAAGCTTTAGTTGAACGGGGCAAAATATGTTAAAGTTTTTCTTTTCTTGACGAGGTCAGTTACGATCTATTTTCAACACATACTACGGGGAGGTTTTGAGTTTAGATTTGGACCTGAGGACCGGCTTTGCTTCATAGTTAGTTAATTGTACCTACTCATCCGTTAAAAAAATGTCTGTCGAATAATTATCAAATGATTTATTAATCGTGTTTTGAAAACAAAAAAAAGATCTAAGGGCTCGTGGATTTCTTTTCAATAATTTCTCAAAATATACGTAAGTCCGAGGCTTGAGATTCGTGTTGTAAGACAACTAGTTGCAACCTATATATTATAATTCAAAGCTAACAATAAAGCATTATGAAAATATTTTTTTCACACAAGTGTCAGTTTGTAGAGAGTTAGATCACAGCCAGAATTGAACGTATTTGGTGGGAGCGAAGTTAGATAGTTAATTTGCAACACGCAAAGGGAAATCGGAAAACATTGATTAAAAAAACACGAGGGGCCGGTGTAGGAGAAAAAATAAATGACTCGACACTATACATACAGTGTGGACAATTGGTAATTACAATTCAGTAAATAGTTTAAAAGCTTCACCGTGAGCGATCTCGGCAATGCCAAACAAAAATCCATCCGGTCGGACCGTAACCAAACAAGCTCCTTTGAAATATCAAAGACTTTCATCAGAGGAACTTGTTTTGACGCCGCTTGCATGCATTGGTTGTTTTACAAGAATTTTGGAATGCACCTGTAACGAAAACTCGCATAGTTTACATATCGGTTCCTGATAAAAAGAAACTCACTAGCATAGGCTTTTTTCATTACTATTTTTAGTACGGACAATTTTATGTAACCCCCAAGAAACGTCATAAAAAGTTTACCTGATGAATGCATTATATACATACCGGCGTCATACCAATGAGAGCTTAACCAAACTCGGCTTATAATGGACATTTTTCAAGTATGCAGACAAATATGTCAGACTTTTTCTCTTAATTTAGCCACTTAAGAAGGACAACGGACACTTTTGGAAGTAACCCAGATGACGTCAGCTGATGACGTAAACGTTAGCGTGATCTGTGCACTGTATACGCTGTACCAATGAGTCGAGAACCTAGCCGGAGAAGCAGACCGTCTTTCAAAGGTCTCGCCTAATATTCAGTCTGCATCTGACCGAACCGTAAACTGAGAAGGACAGTACTTAGCAAAGTCACGCGCTATTTTGAACGTTCGCGACAACTAGCCATCACTCTGGCCACCACTGGTTTTCTCCATGAAGTGACATCTGAAGAACGGCCGCAGAAATTCTATACTGATGACTTGTCACTACCCAGATACGCCTAGTGCTTCTGATTAGTCGTGTCACGAGGGAAATTTTGCTTCAACCAATCAGGAGCACTATCCAGATGTGGGTTGTGACGCGTCATCAGTATGGAATCAGTCTACGCTCGTTCCTCAGACCTTATTTCGCGTGGCCTGCATAGCAGGCTCTTGGAAGTAGTGGGCGCAACGATCGTGTCTCTCTCTCGAACGCCCGTTCTTTCTTACGACCACTTCTTCCAAGCGCCTGCTACGCAGGCTATATATTCGCGTAACCTGTACACAGACGTTGTTTTATTTTTCTTTTCGTTATCTTCGAAAACATCGGTGAGCGCGGAGAGCGAGAAAGAGAAAATGAAGAACGTCTGTAGACTTCTTTGGGAAAAAGATGTTTATTTTAAAGTTCCTCTCCCATATCAACGCCTCATAATTATCACCTACGGGTTCGCAGTACCAATTAAATTGAACCAATGATATTGGAGATATAAACTGCTAAGTATTTTAGAGCATTTTAAAAATGACACCCGGACTCGCGTGTTTGTTTAAACATGTCTTGTCGCACTGACTTCAACGCCGAAAAAGCCGGCTAAAAGGGTCTGAAGCCGAAACAAATCGAACCATCGGATTATTGTGGGATATTAACGCGTTCCCGTAAAGCTACGGAGAATCTGTTTATTGAGAGTGTTCGTCAAGGTGTTATTAACAAAACGAAAAATGGCGGACGATTAAAGAGATCTTGATTTTACAGTTTCGCAAACAGAAGATAAGTCAAGTAGGGTCTGTTTGTCTTGCAGTAATAAGGTTAAAAGCACCTGGGCTCGATTTTCTTTTATTAAAACCATTGCTTCAACTTGATCATTGATAATATCCGCAATGGCGATGCAACTAATACTACGTTCTTTTCTCTTTGTTTGAGTTTCACTGCCGCGAACTACTGGTAAATTATAATTTTCCTAAAACCCGTGGTAAAAACGGCCACAAGATCCTTTTGCTCCAGTAAACCCAAAACAGCCTGACACCGCTCTTCTTTGAGCACGTATTTGCTTGAAAACTGTGCCAAACAGTCGTCAAGCACGCTTTCCATAGTCTATAATCTGATACAAAAGATATGGTCAGCATGGTCAATACAAACTCAGTATGACTGCATCCGGCGGCGCTTTCAATTGATGTTTTTTTACGCAAATTATAATAGAAAGTTAGCGCCTCCAGGCGATGACAAACGCTTCTACTCGCATGACGTGAGCGTAATGAGTCGTTGACATGATGATGACAGGATAATCGCCGTTCAGCCAATGGTAATTTGTTGTTACTGCGAAGAGCAAGTTTCAGTTGCTCCCAAAGATGTCTGCACCCCCTTGTGCTGGCGGTCAATAAATCCCTCGCGGTTTTTTGTCTCGCACGCTCGAAAGAGAAGAGAAAATGGAGGGTCTGTGAACAGAGGAAACCATTGTTGGCGTCGCTAATGGCCTGTTTTCTTAGGGTTATCAGTTGTCGCAAACGTTTATTGTGGTGTGCTTTTTAATTTATCGAGCAAACAACGGTTTCTTGAGTTTGTGCTTAACTTGAAGTCAAGACCTTAGATATCTTTCTCTATATCTCTAAAACATTTGTCCTTGTAATTTAGTTTTCAAAAACAGCTAATAATAATTATTACGGAAAATGTCTATTGTTCGATTGACAATTTATATGCCTATAAAACACTGTCTGAGTTGCCTGGCAGTATGGGATCAAACTGTTAAATGACGATAAGGGTAGTTATCTATTCAATGAATTGTAAAGATAGAACGAATTTTCGAGTAATTGAATCTACTATTGGCTGGGAGGCATTAACTCTAGAGTTCATCTTCTCCTTTACGCGCATTTTATCATATATACATACCATGATATGAAAATTTGCGCGTTATTATCATTATTGGAAAAAAAACCGTCGAAACTGTGCCTACGGGCTTATAAGGATTTAACACTTTTTGATTTCTAAACTTAAAAAACTGTAAACTCAAATCTTGCATTTTTAATGGTTATTGATTTTGCAGTTTCTTCTTAGTTTTTCTGCAAATCAATTTCTTAATCATCTCCTTCTTTATGTCCCTCTTGAAGAACGCATAGACCCAAGGGTTGATGGCAGAATTCAGGACTAACATAGGTATTTTATAGACTTTATCATTACAACGGCGATGATGAACAAGTGATACTAAACTGCAGCGCAAATATATTGCATAGCAGACGAGAAACACAACTATTACAATCGCCATCATTGTTACTGCTGATCTGTCCTGACTTCTGACTGTCAAACCTCTGTGGTTGAACCGCAGCTGTTTTGCTAAGATGGCTGATGATCTATCATGTTTATATACCACAAGTATCATAGAGGAAAAGCAGAATATTAGAAAGCAGCATGAAAAAATCTCCCAAAACATTGCAAATATGTTAACAAAATTCCGCTTGATTAAGAAAAATGAAGTTATGACAAATCCCACGGGGATTGCCCAGGAAACAAAAATCATTTGGAAAACACGACCTCGGCTCATAAAATTTAGATACTTTAAAGGCGTAACAATCGCCACGTAACGATCCAGAACTAAACTGCACAAGCTTGTCACAGATGCGTAGCCGAACAGCCATCGTATTCGATCGATATTCCAACATCTTGAAGACGAATTGTGGCTAGTTTTAATGATTTCGTAGAAAAACTGTGAAGGGAAAACGCTGGCCCCTACACCGAGATCCGCTACTGCAAGAGAAATGATGAAAGCGTTGATTTTAGTGAGGAGCCGTCGTTTGCTGCAAACAAGAAAAATAATGGAGCCATTTCCAGCCGCCGCCACAATAGATAGTGTCCAACCAAGAATCGTAAACCAAGTTTCCATTCACAACTTCAGCTTGGAACTGTCGAATACTGAAGGAATTATAAGTTTTTGTTTCTAAACGAAGGTATCTGACACTGACTTTTTATCAGCGCCTCAACTGGAAATTTAAAAACAGTTTCTGCTATTTCTGGTTACAGGCAGGAGGTGCGACTAAAAGTAAATGCGATCAACGAGTCTGTTTACGGCGATTCTTCATCCAAACTGAATCCAAATCCAAGTTACAATGTTTTGATCGTTGAACATAAATGCTAGCTGAAAGCTTTAAGTTCGCGTTGATTGAGGTCCTCGATCGGAAGGAAAGGTACGGATATCTTATAAACATCTGGTAACGTTTGCGCCTTATCTGAAGAACATAATATACCATATATGCGTCAATGAATGACCTGACAATCATTGCTTAGATGACTGTAGGACAGCAAATTCAATTAAGACCAATTAGAAGGGTCAGTTTAAAAGAAGCTCGCGTTTAACTTAACGAAAAGCAATTTTCGGGAGACTTCAGGATCCTGTTATTAAATGCAAATAAGCCGCTGTGTATTTTTTTTCTTGATTCACTTGCTGTGAAATCTATAATAACCGATATTAATTGAGCGATTAAAACTTTGTTCAATGTCTACAATAAAGAAACGTTTATGCAAAGCTTGGAAATTCCCGCCCCTTTTTGGCTTGTGTCGTCATTAAATGTAATTTAGGGGCAATTTTACGGTGATCAGTTCAGGCGCAGATCCACACCGATTTCCACCGTTTTACTAAAATTGGCCAGATTTTTGATAATAAATATATTTTCAATAATAAAAATCTCTCCAAGCTGCAATCTTGCTCCATATCCAACATACAACATGGAAGTTTACCTTGATGAAATAATCCGCCGATTTGCAACGATCACCCAAGGAGAATGGAACTGACAAATATCCTGTCTGAATGACTTAGAAACCCAGCAAAGGGGACTTTTGGGAGTTAAAATCCGAAAAATTTCACGATACGTGGCGCATAGCCCGGACACTCCCTCCCCCCCGCCAAGAAGCTTGCACCTTCGGCTCTAGTTTAGGAAATCGGTCAGTATTTATCAGAGATCCGCGCCTGCAGTTAGTGACAAAACACAAAAAGCATTTAGGAAAATTAGACGGGTAGCTATGCTCTACTTTACGTTTAACTGAAAGTCTTATAAACTCAACGAATGAAACTTGAAACTCCTTGTGTTATCAAACCACAACAAGCCTCTCTACAGTTATTTTGTCATGATTCAGCTATTGTTGATTCTGATGACTAATGCCGGGAGACTTAAAGATCGAAAAAAAAACAAACAAACAAACAGAGAGAGAAATAAACAAAAAGCTCGTCCTTTGGACTTCGTAATCATGGAAAATGAAATTCTTGCTCCTGCTAAACATGCCCTGGTCGTTCAAAAGATGGATAGCGCTATCCACCACATAAATTACTATCCAGAGGATAATAAGTATTAGGAAAAGCACAGGTAACCCAAGCTCGAAATATGAGCATCGGCGAGCATCGGCATTGCTGCGTAACATTCAAAATATAAGGATTTGTATGGGAAAAAAACCTATCGTTTCCGTAACCTACGAAAACGAAAGGATTTCAATACCTTACCTAAAATGTGTGTTACGTCTCTCCTGTGTGGTTCACGAGCCGATTTTTGGCCGTTTTATGGGTTTTTATGTAAACGGTTTTATATAGAGAGAAAACCGTTTACATAAAAACCCATAAAACGGCCATAAATCGGCCCGAGGGCCACACAGGAGAGACGAAACACACATTTTAAGTAAGGTAAGCTGTTTTTTATTGAAATCCTTTCATTTTCTCATACAAATCCTTATATTTTGAATGTTACGCGACAATGCCGATGCTCGCCGATGCTCATATTTCGAGCTTGGGCTACCTGTGGGAAAACCAATTGCGCTATCCAGTGAACACAGAAGGTCGAACATCAGCACCGGAGGTTCACCGCAGCTGTTCGTTTTTACACTTTAGCATATTAAAAATTACAACCTTACGGCAAATTGAGCACACGTCAATGTACGGAAAAGCTGCTCAATGGTTTATTAAACTAAATTTTGCTTCTTTTTTCTGTTTTTTGAGGTATGACATACTTGGGCGATCCCCTTTGGATTTGTGACAACTACATTTTTCCTTGTTTTGTTTAGGATTGAATACGTGCGTTTTGTCAATGCTTTGACGATGTGACATAAATAGTAAGAGACACTAGTATCCTCAACTGCTTGACATTTTGTTCTTAATGGACTGTTTACAAAGTCGAGCAACATGTACCCACTGTAACGTGATTGGCTTTACTGATTAGGATCTACTTTAATTGTCATCTTTTTTTGAAGAAAGCGTACGCCCAAAGGGTTTATGGCGGAGTTTAAGATCAATATAACCTGAATATAAGTAATTTATATTCAAAGTCATTACATGGAAGGCTGAGAAAGAGTGATACAAAGCCACAGCGAGCGTGAATTCCGCGGGAACAATTCACAAATCCAAAGGGGATCGCCCAAGAAAGGAATATCATTTGAATCACTCAACGTGCAGTTATACGCAAGTTACGTATTCTAAAGGCTTTACAATAGCTATATAGCGATCTGTCACCAAGCTGCACAAATTGAATACCGACGCGTATCCAAATAGCCATCGTATTAAACCAGGGAGCCAGGTGGACCAGGCTCGAGACCATTTACACCCGCCTCTTGCGATCTCGCAGAAGAAAAAAGAAGGAACGATGCCCACTCCAACAAGAAAATCCGCCACAGCAAGCGAAGCTAAAAACGCGTTGGTTTTGGTGCGGAGGGGTCGATTGCGGCCAACAAGCAATATAGTGAAGCAAGAGACATTATGGCTCTTGAGTGAAGCCATTTCCAGTTATCGACACAACGGAAAGAACCCAGCCAATAACCCAAAACCAGGAGTTTCCATACTGTGATTACTTTATCTTGGCTGCGATCAATACTCCTAACGAGAAAATGAAAGCACCTGCACGCACCTGCTCCGATTTTATTTAGTGTTGTACTGACTTATGCATATATATCACACAATAATTACACTTTGACAAAAAGTGAGTCCAATGCGGTCAGCGGTCAGCGATGATGATGGCTGCGTCTTTTGAAGCTGGCTAGTTTAGTGTTATTTGTTGCCTTTTATGTGTGTTCAAATAATTTAGTTTTTCGTGTAAGAGTTCCTGTTCAAAAACGCACTTAAAAAATATTATCTTGCATAATATTGACTTATGTGCGTGTGTATGTGTGTATGCGTGTGTGTTTGTGAGCCATAATAGAATAATAAAAGTCAATCTTGGTAAAGGGCCGTAATCAGTTTTACTATCACGTGCCCTTCTCCATTCTAATTTTTTTCTTTTTTTTTCTTATGTACACGTAGTTTAAACAACCTTGTACTAATTATTATTGTACAACTAAACAACTATAGGATGGAGTAAAAATTAAATACAAATTCAAATACAAGCGAGTCAGCAATTTCTCTAAACAGACTATTTATTAATTACTATATCTATTTCAAAGATATTCTCTTCTTTTAAAAGGAGGACATATTAGGAGGTATGCTATCATTGGAAATTTTGGGTCTCTGTGCAAGTTTTTCCCGAGTATATTTTTTTATTAATGAAGTAGGAAAGCTTTAGTGGAATTATTTGTGACGATCAGGGCAAAATATGTTAACGTTTTTCTTTTCTTGACGCGCTTTTACGATCTATTTTCAACACACACTACGGGAGGTTTCCAGTTTAGTTCTTGATAAGGACCGGCTTTGCCTCGTAGTTAGTTAATTACTCATCCATTAAAAAAATAACTGCGGAAAAATTATTAAATGATTTATTATTCATGTTCAAAAAAAGAAAAGAAAAACAAAAACAAAAAACACA